TTGGACTGGATGATCTTAAAGGTCTTTTCCAACCTAAATGATTCTATGATTCTATGATTCTAAGAGCTGAGGCCTGAATTACATTCAGCTATCACTTTAGCAAATGACTCTTTTCACATGAGCTACGATGTATAAGTTTGCATTTCAGGTTCTTCTTTCAACTCCAGCCTCTGTTTACCTTTATTCTGAAGTCTTTGAAGAGATTGACTCACCTTGTGAAGTAGCATTTTGCTGCACGTGTAGTTGCACTGCAGTTGGATTGCTTGTGCAACAAGAATTTGTTGTTTCAGGTTAACTAGCAGTGGCAGAGTTTGGACCTTGGAAAAATGGGATGGTTTTTGGTATAATCTCTCAAGGGTGCTAGAGTTTCTACTCTGTTTTTGGAATACCATTTGAGAAGAGAAATTCGGTTCTTTTTCCGATATGGAAGCACTTCAGCAATTCAACTGTGTGATTTCATTGACTTCATGATTAAAATAGTTATGGGTATTTTTAATGTACCATGAGCTAAAGTTAATCTCCATTCTGCAGTTATAAATGTTAGTGAAATTTCAATGCATTCAAAATCAAAGGCAAAGCTCTGTCTTCAGTGGGGCAAAGGGCAGACTGAGAGAATCTGAAAAGGTAAAGAACATCCATCAGTGATCTAGTCCCCAGGCCCTGTGCCTGTAACTTCTCAGAGGGGCTATTGTGATGGCGGCTTCTTTTGTTGTCATATAATTTGTTTTTTGCAAAAATTCCTAATTTGCAGTCCCCATTTTCTACACTTAAATGTCTTCGCGTACAGACAAAGATAAGAACTGTTAGTCACATTCTGTCATTATCCCCAAAAGATAAAATTTTTATTTAAAGAAAAAAAAAGTATTTTGGACTCTGTACAAGTTTGTTCTTTCACTGTATCCAATGCTGAAAAGTGATATGTCCCAAGGAGATCAGCTATTGACCACCCTTACACATTTAGAAGTGTATCTCCCAGCTGTTCCTGAGGGGCAGAGTAGCAAACTTGTGGAAACACTTCACTGTTATTACAGAGGTTCTTTGATCCAGAAGGAATGAACAGGTTTGTTTGGGGTTTTTTTAATCTTCATTGAACAGTTAAAAAAGTAAAAATAATTTGTATTCAGAATAGTGCTAGGTATACAATAATGCATAATAAGTATACATGAGAAATAGTTGTATGCTGTAACAACTGAATATGTAAATTAGGATATCAAGGCTTGGTGCTGGCTGTGACCCACTCAAGAAACTTAAACTCTCTCCGGATCATTGGTTTCATTTGTGGAAAAGGTGTTGTAGCATATTCTGCCACTGTGTGTTTCTAGGTTATATTTGACCCCAGGAAAAGGCACTCTGGGACTTGGGTGCATAGTGGTTCCGTTGGGCAAGGTGGTAACAAACGGTGGGACTTGGACAAGCAATACCAGGAGACTGCCAGTAATTGTCCATGAACGTGCTTAAGTGCATGAATTCACCTAAGTGAAAAAGTCAGGAGAAGGCCATGAGCAGCTGGTGAATTTTGCTTGGAGTGATCTTCCAATGAAGGTGCCCTTGAGGACCCCTTCCCTGCTGCTGCCACCAGAACTAACATTCGCTTTCCAGTATTATTCTCAAAGATGGGTTTGTCCAGAAAGATGTTGCCTTGTATGGTGGGGCCTGAAAAAAAGTCCTTGCAAAGAAGAAATCCTGAGGTGCTCTTCTCAATTTTGTGTGGCCATAGTAGAGAAGATGAAGGACAGCATGATCTCGAGTAGGCAGCAGCAAGGGCCCTTTCTGTGCAACCACGGGTAGCGCTTATGGCACGCATTTGGAAGCATGCCATTGTTAATACCTGTTTGGAAGCCTCTGTGGCTGTAACTCATAATTTCAGTAAAGATTAGTTCTCTCCAGAGCTTCCAGTTTGGATGCTGTACTTAGGGTACTGGTGCTGCTATAGGTATTCTGAGCTGCCCCAGATTGTGTGTTTGGATGGTTTGGGCATTGCTTTGGAAGTATGGATACAGGAATGGGTATATGAACAAGCATTCAACAGAGAAAGAGAATTTGTAAAGTTTCTCTTATGTGTTGTTGCCCTTATAGCTGTTCCACATTCATCCTTCATCTCCATTTTTTCAGGGTGTGGTTGAAAAGGAAGCTGGGAAGGCAGAGGCAGATTGTACTTCCTATGCTGAGAAGCATGGACAGACTCATCCTATATACAGTAGACAGGTATTGTTAACAAAGTAAGTTTGAGATCATATTCACAAGCATATGTGCCCTCTTAGCAGAAGCAGCATGTGGACAAGAAGAGCTTGTTATCTACAGTAACTGATTGACTTCTCTCTTCTTTTTCAGAGGATAGAGACTGGGAAAATAACTGACTGTGAGTTTATATAAAATTAACAGAATTGTTTCCTCAGGCGGAGGGCCCAGAATGTGTTTTGGAAAAGGGAGAGAGAAAGACCTAAAATCTGAGAATGTGTGGATACATTTGGCTACAAGATGAGTATGGGAAGAGTCTCTGAGAAACAGACATGGCAGTATTTCAGGGAAAAAGAAGAGGCAAGTAAGTCTTGCTTTGAAAAATTTACATGTTGGGCTTTTTGTTATGTTGGAATTCATTTAAGGTAAAAGACAGTCTTAAGTGCTGGAAACTGTGGAGGAGGCTGTACCTACGTTTCAGAAGGTCACCGACTCTTAAAGGAGAAGACTGTTGTAGAAGTAGGTCAAACATTACCAGTAGTATTTGAAGTGGTTTTATATGGCACTAGTTTATAATTCTGTTAGTAGCTTTGCTCTGTTCATACTTAGTGAGCTATATTTTAATACTGAGAGGGATGGATTCCATTGCTCTTATTCATGTTGAGCTGCAGTCAGTGGAACTAATTGTTGCATAAAGTATGCTCAGCATGAGGACGGGTGATGGAATCTAGCCCAGATGGAAATATCTTTTAAACTACTGCTGTATTAGAGAGCAGCAATCTCAACATAGGCAAATCTAGCTTGTTGCTAAAAGTGCTTCAAGCCATTCTTTTGGCACACTGCATATTTTTACAGATGAATACAGGGGTTGTTTTAAAGTGATTCTCCCCCACCAAGTTGAATCTTATTAACAGAAAGACTGGGAAAGCATCTGCATTGTAATTGTCTGTCCTGTGTTACAACACCAACACAAAGTAGGTGGGTTTTTTGCAGAAATGGCTACTTAACTGCAGCTGTGTATAAAAGTGAAGCATTCTTATCTTAATGCAGTTTTCTGACATTTAATTTCATTCTGTGGTCTGTTCCTCCATCTTGTGCAACTGTCTTAGTAGTAGAAACGTACTGGTGCAGTTTTGTATACATACGCAAAATCTCTTGGAGAAGAATACAATACTAGCATGCCTATGTGGTAAATTGAGGAATACAATGTAGATAAAGTGCCATTTTTAACATTGAACTGAATTTATCTTCAAGCATAATAGGGGTAGGGCTTACAGTATTACATAAAAGTGTAAGACAATCTTTCAATGAAGCAAACCCCAATTGCATAAAAGATGTTGTACATAATGATAAAACCCCCTAGATGCAGGCAGCTGATCTAGCCAGTTGCTCTTCTTAGGTGACCTTGGTAGCCAGTGTACAGAGAGGCACTCCTGTAGGAGATGAATGGAATGAATTTGGACACCTCTGAACTTCAAACAAGCTGGCTAATGTAAAGGCCTTAGGTGTGGTGGTGCTAATAGCCCCCCCTAATTGAGCACTGCCCTAACTGAAATGCAAAACTAATGAGTGGCCACTCTTTATGATGCAATTCCGGTTAAGCGTGCTGCATTTTCACTAGGATCTTATTCCTCTACTGAGGACCAAGATAGGGAATACAAGAAATAGTAGTAGTACCACCACAGTGTTGTGGTTTAACCTGGCAGGCAGCTAAACACCACACAGCCATTTGCTCACTCCCTGAGTGGGATGGGGGAGAGAACTGGGGGGGAAGGGAAAAAAAAAAAAAAAAAAAAAAAAAGGAAAACACCAGGAGTTGAGGAGGTAAAACTCATGAGTTGAGGTAAAGACAATTTAATAGGACAGAAAAGAAAGAGAAAATAATAATAATGATAAAAGGATATACAAAACAAGTGATGCACAATGCAATTGCTCACCACCCACTGACTGATGCCCAGCCAGTTCCCAAGCAGCAGACCCCCAGACAGCTTTTCCCCTAGTTTATCTGCTGAACATGACACCATATGGTGTGGGATATCCCTTTGGTCAGTTGGGGTCAGCTGTCCTGGCTGTGTCCCCTCCCGACTTCTTGTACACCCCTAGCCCACTCGCTGGTGGGGTGGGGTGAGAAGCAGAAAAGGCCTTGATGCTGTGTAAGCACTGCTCAGCAGTAACTAAAACATCAGTGTGCTATCAGCATTATTGTCATCCTAAATCCAAAACACAGCACTACAGCAGCTACTAGAAAGAAAATTAACTCTATCCCAGCCAAAATCAGGATACATAGTATACTGTAATTTACCCAGCTGAAATAGGGGTCGGTATGGTAATTAAAGCAACCATCCTAGGTTAGGTCTGGACAGAGCCCTAGAGCTAGTGTCTTCAATGACACTTACAAAATACACACTAGAACCTGTAAATATCAATCTAATGAGAACCCGTAATTTATCTCTCATCTGCTTTCTGAGGATGGGAAAAGCCAACTAGGCATATAACTATGAAGAAAACTAGCACATTGTCTTATTCCCACTGTTGAGCAGATGTTTGCATCCTTCATCTTGGAGAAGTATACCATTAGAAATAGCTGGGTGATAAGTAAATGAATTAGACTACTTACTTAAATTGCTACTATGATAGAAATAAGACAAGAAAACTTTGTTTTAAAACAAGTCTTTTAAAAAAGTTCATTATGTTAGTATACTTGTTAGTAATGCAAAATATCTGTTAGTAATATGAAATATCTAATAATATTAAACTAAATATTTGGATTTTCTGCCACATAGAAGTTTCCTTGTACTAAAGTTGCGTTTTGTTTTTTTTTTAAGAAAAGTTGTATATACTGTTAAAAATAATTTGCACTAACTAATCTTACTAATCATTTAAGACAGAAAAGAAGCTTAAAAGCTTTTGGCTTCTAGGAATCACATAGATAAAAGTATGACTAATGCCGACAACCTAGGTAACTAGCAGCCTTGCTGTCATTTAAATGAAATAATGGTATGGGCTAGATTTTGAGCTGTGGCTCAACAGAGGATGAGGGGAAGCAGGAGGAGTGATATAGCATGATGTCTCCTGAGTTTGGTCTCAAGGCCACCCTCCATACAGGTCGGCCTTAGGAGCTGCCCCATAGCTGCAACAGCCACAGCATTAAAATCCCTCCCTGCCCTGCTTCACTTTTGCTCCTGTCCCATCATTACAGTGTGGCAGCATGGTAGTGCAGTGTATGGTTGCATATATTGGTCCTGTGCCATTTCTGTGCTGGGAACATTCTCTCTGGGGTCGCTTCAGACCCTCTGCAGCTCCTGTACGCTGCTGGAGAGGCGGGCAGGGGCTGCAGCGCTGGCTAGACTCTGGCTCTGTGCCTGTTCTGAACTCTTTCTGCAACCGGTCCATAAAGTAATCTCCAAGACTATTTCTGCCATCTTGAGAACAGTCAAGCCTGCGAGCATTGGTCAGCAGATCTCCCATCAGCTTGATCTTCTGGATTTTGGGCCTGATAAATTGTTTCTTGATAGTGCTTGCGCTATGAGGGTCTGCATTTTCAACACTCAGGGCATAAAGCTCTTCAAAATATCGTATCATAGTTTTCCACTGTACCATTGCTACTTCCAGGGCTTTCATCAGACCGACTGCATGCTCATAGTTTGGTTTCTAAAAACAAAGACAGAATTACATTTATTCAGAAGAAAAGCTCATCTTACTGTATTCATTGATGGCTTCCCGCAACTTACCTGGCGCTCTAAAAAGATTCTGCAAAAACTCCTAGTTTGAAGCATCTGTTGTTTTTTGCAGAGTTGGATGGCTGTAAACATACAGAAGTGGCAGAACCCAAGCACTTTTTCAAGGAACAGAGATTTAGATAGCAGCAGCTATGCCTGAGGAACATTCTTACACCAGAAAACCCTATCATAGAATCATAGAATGGTTTGGGTTGGAAGGGACCTGAAAGATCATATAATTCCAACCTCCCTGCCATGGGTAGGGAGACCTTCCACTAGACCAGGTTGCTCAAAGCCCCATCCAACCTGGCCTTGAACATTCCAGGGAAGGGGCATCCACAACTTCTCTGGGCAACCCGTTCCAGTGCCTCACCACCCTCACAGTAAAGAATTTCTTCCTAATATCTAATCTAAATCTACCCTCTTTCAGTTTAAAACCATTACTCCTTGTCCTATCACTGCGCTCCCTGATAAAGAGTACCTCCCCATCTTTCCTCTGGGCCCTCTTTAAGTACTAAAAGGCCACTATAAGGTCTTCCCTGACTCAGACTGAATATTTAGAAAGTTTTTCAAGATGGCCTTTTTATTTTTAATTATTACAGCTTAACAACTGCTATGATAGGCCAAAGAAGAGCATTCAGCATTAACTATTAACAGAATACTAATTTGGTAGAGGAGAATCAGCCCCTTGGTCTTTAACAAATGAGGTGTTTTGTTTTTTTTTTTCCCTGAGAGTTATTCCTTTGTACCCGTGCAAGCCTGAGTCAGATCTCTAGTTCAAGTTCTATCTTCAGCTGTGCTCCAACAGATCAACTACTGCCCCAAGCTGGATGTTTCTCCTACCTCCTTCCTTACCACCTTTCTTAGGTGCTGATGGCTTCTAGACTTCTATTTAGTTTCAGTATGAAGGAGACAAGTGGGCTGTGTCAGCACAGTTTAAGGAGACTCTCATAATCCATTACAGCACACTGGAAACAGCAGTCTCCAACTGAGTGAAAGAAAAAGGGGACCACCGTTCATATTCTTTTGGGCTAGAAAGCAACCATGTAGAGTCAGGACTGTATGTCTGATGGTTTCTAGGCATCACAATCAAGAACAAAACCATGTATGGTAATATGACAGGGAAATTGTATCTGGAAATCTAATAGCGGATGAATGCAGAGATCTGAAGTACCAACAATGTAATGGAAGAAGTTAGAGTAATTACTGTGGATTGCAACTGCTTGAAAGCTTGTTGTCTACTACCCACCTGGATGGTTTTAGAACAGTAGTGGCCGCCTCTTTCTTGCTGATACTTCATCAGAGCCTCTGCAGCTTTTCTCTCTTCCAGAGCTTGATGCAAAAAGAACTTTGAAACGTTTGGTAGAGCCACATGCGACTGATCAAAATATTCACCCTAAGCACACAAAAAACAAGCGCTAAGATTTGCTGGAGACAGGACTCACTTGCAGCAGAACATGGCTTTATCAGAACTTGGAAGACCCTTCCAATGGAAGCTGTTCTACCAGCACAATCACTCTGAAGACCTTAATCCAAATTTCTGCAATAAATGAAGTAAGTAGTTACGGTCTTAAATGAAAAATCTCTATACTTCTACTAGAACTCCTTCTGTCCTTTAATACTGGACAGGTAACTGTAGTACTAATGTTCTCTCTCAGTAGCAGTCAGACATTCTCAGAATATTTGGCGGGGGGGAAGGGGGAGTGTTTTGGTTTTTTTGCCATTGTTGTTGTGTTTTGTGTGGGTTTTTTGTTTGGTTTTTGTTTTGTTTTGTTTTTTAAACACAGTTCCAGCACAAGGGACTTAAGATTTATCCCTTCAGGTCAGCATTCCAGTGAAAAGTTAGCTTTCAAAGGTATGAGAAAGACAAGGCAAATACCAAAAAGAGAACAAGCAGAACTTTGCATCTATTTATCATCTTCATTATGGATACTGTTATTCCAAAATAAAGAATACTGCTACTGAACTATACTGTATACACCTTTAATATTGTATGTAGCTCATGCCTAGGAATACTTCAGAAGTATTACAACCCTAAACCCATTGCAAGCCCTTGTTCTGTTCTATATGGGAAAGTAACAACTTTAACCACTTAACTATGCTAATAGATCTATCAGCTCTTACATTAGAAGAATTTTATCCATGGTGTTGCTGTCCCATGAAGAGACTGTATTAGAGAGAGGTAGCAAAGGAGAGCAGAGCTCTGATGTTGAGGAGAATGAGAGGCAGCTGCTCAGAATATGCCAAGAACTGAACTGAGGGAGCTACAGCATCTTGATCTGCTGGTTCCCTGAATGTGCCTATGCAATACAGCACACCTTTCATCTCTTGGACATACTCTGGATTGCAGTACCGCATATCCAGCTGTTGGTTTGTAGCCTGCCTAGGAGGAGTAAAGAACATGTGCATTTCCTAGGTTTTTCTGCTTATCGTCTTCCCTGCTTTCATCTGTTACCCTGCTTAAATATGAAACACTTGTGTTTTATCTATGTTGCTCTGTTAAGAAAAAATGTAGAGAAGTTACGTACACAATACAAGTTTATGTTTTTCTCTTGTGTTTCTATGGCCATCTGCAGTACCCCAAATCTGTGACGCATATACACATGTGACCATAAACGATTCAAGAGAAAGTACATACTGGAATGTTTTATTAAGAACATTCATTGCAATATTTGCATAATCCTTTTCCTGAAGTAATTCATTCATGTTTCTGTTGACAGAAGAGTCAAGATTCAGTGTTTTATAACCAGTTCCTCGGTGCAAGTGTACTGCATGACTTCAAGCAGAGCACAAGTTACCACACCTGCTTAACTGTTAAGGTAAAACTTTTATGTCAATCATTATCTATTTAAGATGTTCACATTTCCAGGTTTGATTTATCTACAGTCAATTTCTAATTGAGCTTTCTTCATCCCACCCAGCTACCAATCACTAGTATTATTTGAATCCACATGTTTAGCAAGTGGAGGTTTTACTGCATACTTAAATTTTTATTGGACAAATACTTGACACCAAGCTTGATCAAAGGATCTTGGGGATATATTGAATATAGTTTGTGTTGCTTCTCAGTGGGTGCTTGGCATCAGAAGGGACAGCATTGATCATTTGGGGTTTTTTATTTTAATGGCTTTGATAAAATTTATATTGCCTTAATATTTGATGTGCAGCCAGACACAGTTTTGTCATGCATGTTACACAGTATCAGAGATAACTTTTTTAATTCACATCCAATGTTCCTGCCCATGGAGCAAAAAACCCTCAGTCGACAGCAATGTTCACAAGCTGTTATTTCACCAGTTAACCAGACACGGCTATTTTGTGTACAAAGTTTGGGAAAAAAAACACCCAAGAGTTATACTCCAACGCTGTTAGCATTCCCTGTTCCCGTCCATCTTCCCACAGGCATAACTCTCTATCTGAACTACCCAAAACACAGGAGTGCCGGATTCATCACCCGCTTGTTCCAGACCTTCGTCGTTGTTTTTCTACCCATGGCAGCAGCCACCCCGGGGTCAGCGCACAGGCAGCAGCGCAGACCCGGGTCCGGGTGGGCGGAGAGCCCCCAAATCCCGCTGGGTCAAGTAACGGGGCAGGCACCGCTC